TGCACTGAATACTGTATTTTAAATGAGATATACTGTGAGGTACTATTTTTACCATTGTTTTTTCTCATTCTTTATTTGTCTTAGCATGTTTTTTTTATTTTTCTGATCACTAGTGTACATGGAGCACTAGCCTTCTACACCAGCTGGCTGCAGTAAGACCCATTTCCTGTTTCAGGAGGTTTTATAGTTCATGTGGAAAGGAATGATGCACAGGCATGGTTCTATTTCCTGGCTAATCAGTTCTAAACGTAGGCTTTTGTTTGGTTCACACTATGAGCAATGCTCATAGTCCTTCCTCTGGAATGGATCTGCCATTCAACCTGCCGCTGGAAACCGGCATCAGACTCGGATCCATCCCATCAGGTAACGGTGCGGTAGGCGATTTGGATGCTGCAAACAGGAGAGCGGCTGCAGGTGTTCGTCCCCTGCGCAGCTGTAGGAACATGTGGCGCTCTTTCCTGCATTTGGGACCACTCTTAAACAGCATGCATAGCCTCTGCATGTGTGTGTGGGCATACACTGCACATATAGTTAGATATAGTTAATAACTATAAAATTCCCTGTTAACTTAGAAAACTAATTTATTCGGTTTCTCTATTTTAAATGGAGTTGGATAAATACTCATCTGCCCTATGTATGTTCTGTGGCCTGTAGGAGATTTCACAGTAATACCAATGTCACTGTGTCTTTACAGTGTTTCTGTCAGACTTCAGTTCAACCAATCCCTCTAAGGTGAAGGCATAAGATTTTAGTATTATTAATGCCTCATTTAATCTAGTTAATGATCTTTTCAAGTATTCCATCTTCTTTGTGATTTACTTGCAATGTCAGATAAAGATCTTATTTAAGCTAAGTATTATGAAATAATAGAAATCTTTATTGTATTTGAATGCAATCAGGATAAATGAATCCAGTAGAGTCTGATGTTAAACAGGTGCAGTTCTTAGCAGCATCGCACATGTAAAATCAGGGTAAGTTCTTTGAACACTCAGATCTTAACAGATGTGTTCTTTTTCTCCGTATGTTATAATAAAATAAGGATTTGCTCTGAAAGCATTGACACACACTCGATGCAGTCTTGGCAAACACACCGTTGTATTCCTTACACAATATCTGCTGTGGCTATTATTTAACTTTAAATAAATGTGTGCATTAAATAGCTGCAAAGCACATATATGTATAAACAAAGGCAGTTTCTGTCAGAGAGTAATATTTTTTTGCTTTCTTGTTTACTGATGCCTAGACAAAGGAATGCTGCATCTTCAAAACAACATCTGTCAAACCGATTTTCATCAGATTAAGTATATCCTCAAAGCAACCATCACAGCTTACAAAATACTGGAAATGTAGGTTGTGCTTTGCATAAAACACCAATAGAATTTAAAGCATTTGACAGTGTTTTACAAATGTAGTGGCGGTAGCCTGTGCATATTCTCCATTTTTGTTTCTATTTTCAGTAGGTTCTTGGGAAAGATAATGAGTGATGTTGCAACACTGCAATCCCAGTAGATGTCCCAGAGTGCAATTACGGAGTTATGGTCCTGGCAGCTAATCGGGGTCCACAGAAGTGAATGGTTTGAGAGTCTGGCAGTGGAGATTGGATTTATTGTGAAGAAGTTCATCTGTAGAAAGATTTCTTTCATTAAGAATGAAATTAAAGCATGAATCAGTGGCTGATTATCCAGGCCTTTCTCTGATCCGTTTAATTCTTCATTAGTATAGATGTGTGATTATATATGCTCTGGCCTGGTTCTGGTTCTATAGATCATCAAAGATAACTGATAATATTAAATTTTTAAAGATCTTTTCTGGGACAATGTCATCTCATAAAAATGGGGGGAAAGCCAGTGGCTTTAACATAGACCATAAATACAGACACGCTCAATCATTCACGTTTCTGGCCAGCTTTCTGTCTTTTTCCCTGCTAGGGAAAAATTAATGCATGAAAATGCACTTTCTAATAGGCTGGTGTGTCTTCTGTAGGAGCAAACCATTTTGCCTTTGTAATGTTAAGTAGAGAGGTGAGGCCTCATTACAGTGTGTGCCCGCAGCTGAGTGTGGGAACTCAGGACAGCCAGAGATGAACACCGGGATTTCTGTACAAGATCTTTGTGGATGGAGGGTAGAGGCACTTGAGCAGGAAGTCACATCACTGTTCCCATTAGTTCTTCCGTTCAGAAGTTGGAAATCTAGCGTAACACAAGAAGAGTCCAATGAAAAAGCCATGGAGAGGACAAACAAGGGTAAAAGTCGAGGACAAGTCTGTTCCAGCTGCATCTGGATGTAGGTACATTTTTACAGCTCTGGTTTCCCATTAGATTGTTCCCTGTGTGTCAGTGAATTGCCCTGTGCTATCCTAAAATGTTCCATGTTAATGTTAGGCGAGTTAGTACGAGGCGCTTCGGTGCCTACCACACACCCATGGGATAGTCCTAATTAGTGTCCTGTTCCTAAGACAGTGCAACTGAAGACAGTCCCAGAACCAATTGCAAACAGACAAGGTTAAATATGTTACTTCATGATAGAGTTCAAGATAAATGCTTTATATCTGAAGGATATAATTTTTGCCAGGTATTGCTGATTTTTGTCTTCCTTATAAAGATACACTAGCTGATTCTGCGGTACTACCTAAAACATAAACCTCAGACCGGATTTTTAGCTTAACTGATTCTGAAAATGATCCTTGTAGGATCTTCAGCCTAGTTCCTTAGACAAAAGAACGTACAACTAAGTAAAAATAAGAATGAAAATGTACCAAATTTTCTAACTTTATCCAGCTTTATTGTGTACCCAGGGAACTTGGCACTTGCAAGCTGGGGTCCTTTGAATATTGATAGCATGACAGTTTGAACAGGAGACAAGGGTTTCTGAGAAGACTTTTACGATTTGCAGTAGGAAAAGCTGTGTTTGAAACAGCCATTATGCTAGAAATTCCTTCTGGCTGTCATTTTTGGCCGAAACCATGGAGCATTTAACTTGTTTTTAAAGCAATGAGTATGGAACAGACAGCAAATAATACAGCCTGGTGGTAGGCAGACAAGCCGTAGCACGTTCAGCAAATACAGGCTCTTTCTGGGAAACGTTGATTTGAATTTCATGCATCATCCAAGCATAGTGAACACCGAAAGGTCATCGTAAGAATATAAGGAAAAAAATCCATCTGATTTGAATTTCTCACTATCCAGTATTGTTAATAATACGATGTCAAACAAATAACTGTTTCTCCGAGTGTGACTAAAGCCAGATTCCATGTATAGTTGAAGAATAACTTGCCACACCATTTTTTTTTCCATTTACTGTTAATTTGCTTTATAAAGTCATGGTGTAGTTTATGAATGGTACCTTGAGACACTGCAGTACATCTGTGTTTTCTCAGAGCTATTTTTTTTGAGTTTGTTACTCAGCATCCAGGAAATCTCATGCAGACTGTAACATACTAATTGGCTCAGTACAATTAGGATAAAATGAAAGTGTTTTGCTATTGATCTTCACTTGTTATTAGTTTATACTAACAGAAAATTAGATTGAAGAAATCTAATACAGTATCAAAATACTCTTTCTCATTGCAGGAAATATCACTGGTACTCTTAAATGGCAGTATTTTAGAGCAGAACTTCCTTCCTTTCTCCTTTTTCTAATCCTGTCTTTCTGACTTTTAAAAAAATTCTTGAAGGGATGATGAGTCTTGTTAAATAACTAGGGTGTTCAGAGACTGTGTAGCAATACTGTGACTTAAACAGGGCTCAGGCAATATTTGTTAGACCATTATATCAAGGTCTAATACTGTGCTGTTTGTCACCTGAACTTCACATAACATCATGTTAATAAATCTTTACAAGCTGTGTAGTTGTAAAGTGCATCATCATAATCAGTATCATTCCTCTAATAAATCACTTGATTTGTGTTTGCTTTGTGTTGTTCCAACCTCATCAGCCATAACATCACAGGGTGGGGACTCTTCTTATGGTCCAATTAACAAACCACCTGCTCTGAGTCCTGGGTTATGCATGTGCTCGGAGGGAGGCACATCTTTATCTCCACACCCTCCTTTCCTTTGCAGTTACATGGTTTTCTTACAGAAGTATTGCCTCTATTGTGGAGATTTTCTGGAGCTCCTGGTCTCGATCCTTCTGCAGGCTCCATGCAGATGTATGGTTTTACTTGCCCAGGAGACCACTGAAGTCGATGAGTATTTGTAATTTAGACGCTGAGGCGATGCCCACCACCAGGGGTGTGAGCTGTTAGACATGGCTGCACTTTGGCCTCCATGTAGAGGTGGTCAGTTCAATAGATCGGTGGCCCAGGGAAACTGATCCCTCGTGCTGACCAAGCTTCAGAGTCGAATTCTAGCTGCAGAGAGTCTGTTCCTATTGGCATGGATGGAGGTCTGCAAATGAAAAAGCAGGACAGGCTTTGCTTTATGTTTTTTAACATTTGTTTTATTGCAGCCATGATTCTCCTCCTGTGTAACAGAATAGATAAATATCTGCTTGAAAATCTATGATTTAAAGTACTGGGTGTTGTTTTTTCTGAGACTCAGAATCTCAATCCATTTGATTGACAGATATAAACTTGAATTTTATTTTATTCTCCATCACAGCAGTAAGTTTAGTCCAACTACAGTTTTCACTGTTGCAATACAAATACACTAAACCTAAAGTGCTGCTGGCAGCTTATATCTAAAATTTGAGGATTAAGAAACCGATGCAAACAAACAAAGACTCTCAGCTTTAAGTAAGGAACAGAGTCTTGTTGGACTAGCCTTTTACTGCTGTCACACTTAATGTGAAGTAATAGCAGCCAAAACCTATAGGTCTGTTCTTGGCTGCAATAAGTACTAATAAGGCACTAGTCATTTGAAGAGGGAATTTGTCTTGTCTATTTGAAATGTTCATTAATTGCCAAAAATGCCAAGGTTTTTTGCCTTGTACGTGTGATGTACTTTTCATTTTTACCTTCTAAATAAGTTGTACAAATAATCCCTCTTGTTTTTTTTTCAGTCCACCTAAACCAACGGTGTTCATCTCTGGTGTCATTGCTAGGGTAAGATTACCATTAAATTTCTTTCAATCTTAGAAAAATGATTGTAGGATTTTCAGAATTATCACTGATCAGAGCAAAATTAATCTTTTTCATTCCCATTCCTTTTTAATGAGAAGAGGCTTTATGTTTTGTATATTTGTGTAAGTCCCTTTGAGCATTCTTTTTGGTTTTCTGAGAAATTGAAATTATTTATTGAAATTACTTCCACTGTTTTACTTTGAATTTTAGCACTTTATTGGATCTTCTTTTCATATCTGAGCTAGATATTACTGCATTCATTTTCTTTGAAAGTGGTTGCGTGTAAGTCTGCTGCTATAGCTGGATCTGTGATGAGGAGCAACAATCCTGTCAGTAAGGATGCATGTTTGAAGATATGTGTTTCAGCTGCCGTATGTGCCTTGAGGTACTTGGGATTCAAGGCATTATTCCCTGGATTTTAACAGCAGGCAGGACCTGGAAATCTATAAGCTAAATCATTAGTATTAACTAGCCATTAATCGTATGATCAGTAATAAATGCCTTGTGTGTTGTGACAGGGTTTTTATCATGGCTTTACATGATGGGTACCTTTATCATGATGGCCTTACATCACTGGGGTGTGTAATGGAGTGGTTTACCCATAAGATGCTGCGGTTGTGTCAGATCACGTAGGGTGGGAAGAGTGAGCTGATGTCATTTTACCCAGCCCATAGGGGTAGTAGACAGGCAGTGCTGTATTTCCTTGACCTCCATCTGCACTAAGGTGGATACCTATTTAGGCATTTAGATGCCTGATTACTTCTAACTAATTACTGCATTAATATTTAGTAATTTTAATAGCACTTTAACGATTGTACGGTAGTGATATTTTTTTGAGTGACGTAGGAAATCTCAGACATAAAAAACACAGGCCCCCAGTTTAGTAGGGATGCAAAAGATTCAAAATGGAAAGAAGGTATTTTTTTGATTTTGTAATTCAGCTCTTCTTTAGCTAATCAATTACTTGATAGGGTACTAAACTTACCCTCAGTAAGCTGTCAGCCACAGGTTTATTTATTAACCTATGAAGAGCAAAGTTGTTCTGTCCTTTTCTGAGACTTTATAGCTCCCAAACATGTATCAAAATTTCTTCTCTATGTAATAAACAAAACCTAGCAATGCTTTTTTGAACCCAGAGTAATTTTTCAATTATATTTTCAAGTTTCCTGATAGTTCTCATCAGTGTTAAGTGGAGGTTTATGTACCATGACCTGTCCTGTTTAATGTCTTTATCAGACAGAAAGCTTCTCATCAGGTTTGTGGATGGCACCAAATTGCGAGGAACAGTTAATAAGTTTGAGGGCAGGGCTGCTACTCGGAGGGAGCTGGACAGGCTGGAAGAACGGCAGGCAGCAGGTGGACACAAGCCAGCCACATACAGGACAGCAAGAAGGCCAACAGCATCCTGGGCTGTGTTAACAGGAAGGTAGCTGGTAGATCAAAGGAAGGGATTATCCCCCTCTGCTCAGCACGCTTTAGATGACATATGGAATAGTTCATCCAGTTTTGGACACCCCAGCGTATGCAAGGTGTTGATAAACCAGAGCGAGTTCACTGGAGGGCCACCAAGGTGGTCAGGGGCTGGAGTGTATGCCCTGGGAGGAGAGGCTGAAGGAACAGCCCTTGTTAGTGTGGAGAAGAGATGGTTTTGGGAGGACCTAACAACAGCCTTCCCACATCTATAAGGAAGTTATCAAGATGGAGCCAGGCTGTTCAGAGTGGTGTGTGGCAGGCAGACAAGAGACAGAAAACACAAATTGAAAAGGAAGGGCCTGACTAGACATAAAAAAATAAACTTTTTTACTGTGAGGACATTCAGGCAATGGAACAGGTTGCCTGGAGGGGCTGTTCAGTCTCTGTTCTTAGAGGTCTTCATTAGATGGGATAGAAACCTTGAGTAAGTTGGTCTGATCTCATAGCTAGTTCTACTTTGAGCAGGAGGTTGGGCTAGAGACATCCTGAAGTCCCTTCCAACCTCAATTATTCTATGATATTTTGATTTGAAGATAGGCATTTCCTGCTAACACTTACAGACTGACTCTGTCATCTGCTCAACCATTACAGTTGCATTCACATCACCCATTTGAGACAGCAAAGTGGGAGGGGTCAGAGAGGTATGGAAAAGGCAAACAGCAGCAGCAGGGGAAAGAAGGTAGAAAATGTCAAGTCTGAGAAGAGGAGATCTTTGAAAAGCGGAAGCAGCTTAGAGAAAAAAGTGAAAAAATGTAAGAAGTTAACCTAGCGATCAAGATAAAAAAAAAAGTTATGTTGAAACAGAAAGGAAGAGTTTGGAGTAGATTCAAGTGGGGTCAGGTGTGAAGCAGGTCATCTGAGACATCAGCTTTGTACAAAATACCTCTGTATAAGATTGTCACCCCATGAGCTGATGGAATATAAGGAGTTTCTGGCTTATGATGTTTGTCCCCGTTTCTAAAGAGGGAAGTTGTGGTGCTGTTCTCCTCCCCGTCACTGAGCACTGGTAGTAGTTGTTTCCCATTGCTTTTTGAAAACCCTATGGGACTGACCCTAGAAATGACAGTTGTAAATAGGTGGTGTAAGGGTTACACCTGAGCTGAGACTGCCCAACAGCAGCACGTGAGAACTAACACTAGCAGACCTGGCTAAAGAGCATGTTAAACTTAAAAGCCAGCCACCCCTAAGATTTGAGTCAAAAGTAGTTTTAGATCCTGCCTTTCTTCCCATGGAAGTGGCATTCCTAAGGTTTTCACGCTGCCTTACCTTGTTTGTGAAACGGTCTCCTCTTTCTGGTTGCTGTGTGAAAACCAAATAGGTCAAGGACATCTGACCACACAGAGCCAGTGAAAGTGGTGTAGCATGAGGAGCCATTAAGCACTGAAGATAGGAAAGGGTTTTTTTCCTTTGGGTCACTTTAAGATACTGCATTCTTGGATGGTGGGTGTAATTGGAAGAAGTGAAACTTGCATAAGTAACATTTTGAAGTCAGCTAAAAGAATGGCAAGATAGGGCGTGTACAGGGGGATTCCAGAGTAACATGCAACACGTGTTTTCCATGTGCTCTTCACATTTTTAAAAACTTACTTTCCAGTTCGAGTGGATGCATGCTTTTAAGATTTCTTAAATTTTTCCTGGTGTGTTCTTTGAACAGGGCGATAAGGACTTCCCTCCAGCTGCGGCTCAGGTGGCTCATCAGAAACCACATCCTTCTGTGGAAAAGCTTCCTCACCCACAACATGTCAAACAGCAGATCCACCAGCCTCGCAAGTGAGCTCTCCATCAAAATCTCAGCCAAACTGCCGTCAGTGAATAAGTTTTCGAAAGAAGACGAAAACCCTTTAGGATTCACACTGTCACATCTGTAAAATTGACCTCTAAAATAATATTCTGTTTCTTTTACTTTAATTCTCAAAGGTCAATAAGAATGAAGACGTTGTTGTTATCCCAAATGGAAAATTCCCTATTAAGTATTTGCTGATCAAGGGTGGGTTTTTTATGAGATTTTCTTATTGCCAAGATAAAACTTTAGTATGAATAATATGATTAATGAGCTTAAAACTTGTACTTTTAGTTGTGGCATCGCAATAGCAGATAGTTAATGTAGTTTTTATGCTAAGCCAGTAAGGAAGAATAGCCCTTTTGAACTGGTACCTTTACTATCTGGAGGGAGTTCGTTGTGTGTGCTGAGGCAGAAATCAGTGGTTGTCTTGATTACGTAGAACCTTTGCAGTCTTCAGTATCCTACGGTGTTACACCCCAGTAGCTGTGCCCTCTGATTTCAACTAGTGAGATGATAAAAGGGCCCAAAAGCATGTCTCAAGTGGGCATAAATCCAGCTGATCTTCTTTACACCCCTTCGCACTTGCACAGTCTTGCTGAGGTTCTTCCATTTGGAGATCTGTGAGTATGGAGAGGGGAGAGAAATCAGTTATAAGAACACTGCTGCTGTAGGCAACTGATTTGTGATCTCATGGGTCTCACTGGGGCTGTATTTTCATGAGGTGATGATTTCTCAATTCCAATAGCAAGCTGAAGGAGCTCAGGACCCTCCAGAATTGAACTTAAAATAAACTGGTGAAAAATCTGTTGTCTTTTTTTTAAGTTAGAGTTTGAGATCACTGTTTGAAATTAAGAGATACCTTTAGTAAATGTGTTTAACTTTATGACCCAACCTCTGTTGCACATCATATTTTTTCCTAGTCTTCTTGTTGTGAATAAGGAAGGTAGTGATACGAAGGAATAAAAAAGTTACTTTTCAAATAGAGCAATTGGTTTAGTTTTGGCCACATAATTAAATCTTTTGATTGCACAGTTCAAAATCACTTAGCTCTGTCATTTCCTTCTGCAATTCATCTCTGTAAAACCCAAGAAAATAATTTTTTAAACATTCCACCTACATTTTTGAAGTGTACTTACATTTTTAACTAACTAGAAATACAGTACAGCCTTTAGTACCCTCTAGGTTTATAAAACTTTTAACAACATCAAAAAAGTGGGTACTGGAGCTAGTGCTGCAAACATTCACCTGGCAAATCAGTGAAAATTTGGGGTCACTTGGTGCTTTACTAGCTCATTTATGTTTAAAATCAAATAGTGTAGAAAACCAGTGAGGAGAGTTTTAAAAATACTACTTCTTTTTAAATTTCTGCAGATTAATTATTCCCTGAGAAGCTGATTTAAAACAACAACAACAAAATCATCTGAAATATGTCCCATTTCACAAGTGGTATAGCTCACTTAATGTGGGTGAGAGGGACCTGGCATTTCCATCTCTTCATAGGCTTGAAATGGAAATGATGTTTTGCAAAGGATATGCATGGATATATTTATTCTACACCCAAGAAAGGATGTGCAATCTGTATATGCAGTCCTTATTTTCAATTTAATTAGATAACCGTCCTTGCCTTAAGGAATGAGTGGTGTTTATAAGAATTATTCTGTATTAGAATATGCATAATTTTTAAAATATGCTTTCTGTTTCTGATGTCGGTACAAGTGGCCTTGTTTTGTAGCCACTCATGAGTGTACAAGGGATTGACACATGAGTAACTCATTCATAAGGGTAGCATTGTTGAGCCTCGTGGAATATCTGCCCGAGATAATTCGCTGGCAGGAATGTTTGCAGATTCAGGACAGAAGGTGGTGATACCTCGCTGATGGTGCAGTGTGCTGTCAGCGATGAAGTATGTTGCAGGTGCTTGGTACTGGCAGCTGCTGGCTTGAGAATGAGCTCGATAGTCTTGTGCCTCCATCTGAAGTAGTGTCTAGGCTCCAGCTGCAGTCAATGGTGATATAGTCAAGACAATCGGTAGAGTTTAGGTATGGTGTCTTTGACCAAATGCAAGTGTCTTTCAGGATGAGCTGGATCACTCTCGACTCCATTGACTGCAGTGGAAAACCAGTTGTTCCTCAGTGTAGAAGCACACTATTAGGTGGGGCTGGGTACCTCTACTCTGTGTCTAGGAATAGCTGGTAGAAATGTGTATTTCTGCCTTCTGAAAGCAACACCACATTTCCATTTTAATATTAAAAGTTGGGAACATGGATGCTTTTGAATTACGAACTACTGCTCCTAGTTGTTAAAGCAATATATACGGCATATATAGACAATACCTGAGTTTTGTCTTTGATTACTATGTAAGATGTGTAAGTTTGTACAATGGAGTATGACTCTCAAGATAGCTTTAGTGGCTTTTAGAGTGCAGGAATTCCTATATGGTTAGAAAATGTCTCTGTATGAAAGCATATTATATATTGTTGGGAGGTATACATGTTTATACATAGGTGTTCTTACCAAAGCATTACCTTGCCCAAAATAAAGAATCGTAACTGGTGATCTGGAGTGCCTACTGATGGTTATTGATACTTTTAAAATATGTTACAATAACATACAAGCACAGGAGATGTTCAGATGTTACCTTGAAATGATTGCAAAAGAAATTTTCTATAATTGTCAATGTGGCAATAATACAACAATAAAGTATGATGTTGTATATTGGGCTCTTTTTTCTGTAAGTACAATGTAAATCAGCAGGGTGCGGTTTTGTGGGGTTTATGGGATTTTATTACAGAATGCTGCACGACTAATCAACATTTTATAGGTAGTGAAATTTATTAGGAAGTTTTATGATGCAGTGGATGAGCTGTTTTAGATAGTCCAGTCTCATTTAAAATAAAAACTAAATGCTACGAGCTAGAATGGGAGTTGCTGTTTTCCACTATGATATTGGAGATCCTCACTCAGTCTTTGCAAAGCTATAGAATCTAAGCCTGTTAATAAATCAGTATGGTAAAGGAAATGAAATTTAACATTTTCCATTGCTTTTCAAGTTCTAATCTTATTTCAGAAAAAGAAAGTATTGTAATTGGAAGAAGTGACAAGCTTCTCATAAAACTGCAGTTTCCATTACATAGTGCATGCCATAACACAAGTGAGTCACAAAGAGTTTGGAGAAATGGCTGCAGTGTTTCTGGAAGCTTTCTGATACTTTGGGCATCCTGTATTTAGTGCATGTATAGTGTGTATCTCATACAACAAATATATGTGATACAGTGCAGACGTGATAGACTTACTGCCCTGGGACTGTTGCAATGTTACATCCTTAGACTCTGTACACACATAATGATGCACTACATTATTCAAAAAATGTTGTCTTTCATTCAAATTTGGGGAAGATATATGTGCATGACGTCTGGCATGCTGCTGCTGGAGTTGTCCAAAATTATTCGAAGTTCCACGGCCTTGCTATCAGCAGTATTGCAAATGTTATTAGTAGCTAGAAATTACTTCTAGTTTCAGCAGTATGGTTTACCCTTTTTTCATCAGATGTCTTGAAACCTAAGTCATGTACTTTTATCCATGGTAGTATGATCATTGCATGCTCCAGGCTGTTTAATGAAAATATTCACAGCAATCTGTTTCATACAGAGGTGAAGGGGATGGATTGGACAGACATTTTTGTCTCTTTGGAATAACTTTATTCTGAATACTCACCATCTTCATGGAGGAGGGAGGTGTGGGTTTTATAAACCACTTCTCATGCCCCCTTCAGATTTGGGTATATCAAGTTTAAAATGAGATTTAAGTCTAGGCCAATGCCTTTAGCTATAGGATTAAGATACGTTAATGGCATTTTAGAAAATGTGGGGATGTCAGTAAGGGAACAGTTACTTTTACAGCAGGAAGAGATGTTGCTGGTCAGATGCTGCAATGATGTAAAGAATTAAGAAGATAAATCTCTGTTTTAGTTCAATTTCTTCGCACACAACCCTCCTCCCTCACAAGATAGACACTTAAATATAACTGGTTACAGCTAACATTATCTGCTGTGTCAGTAAAAGAGGAATCCAGATCATAGTGACTGGAGGAGCCTCAATGAGAAGAAACTAAGTCAAGTCTACAGCAGTGAATCTTCATCACACTCCAACAGGTAGGTAAAATAAATCTGTATTGTAGCTGTAGCCTTTGGTAAGTGCTGTGCATAACTGTATTATGTGTAATTAATTTAAGTACCTGATTTGCTTTCCTGAAGAGTTCTTTTTTCCCTCAAAATTTCTCGGTCACACCTCTGGCATGCACACATTTCTCTTAGGAAGGTGGAGGTTTGTATTTTGCTTGTTGCTGTGTTCTTGGGTCTGTTTCAAGCATTGGAACAGGCTGCCCAGAGAGGTGGTGGAGTCACCATCCCTGGAGGCATTCAAAAAACGGGGAGACGTGGCACTTCGGGACATGGTTTAGTGGGCATGGTGGTGTTGGGTTGATGGTTGGACTGATGATCTTAGAGATCCTTTCCAACCTTAATGATTCCTAGTTTTTACTTTCATTAAAAAATAATCCAGCCACCAAGCCAGGAAACATGGAATTATTACTCTACCCATAATTGGTTTAGTGGTGGACTTGGTAGTGTTAGGTTAATGGTTGGACTGGATGATCTTAAAGGTCTTTTCCAACCTAAATGATTCTGTGATCCTGTGATTCTATGGTTCAAGAATGTGTATTTATTGGTTTTCCTCATCCCCCCATCAGAGAAGAGGCTGCATCTAGTGTATACTATTTTTTGAGACTTTTCATAAAATGGTAGCACTCCTATTTAGATAGGAACCCTGAGAGGAGAGGTGGAATGGGTTGTATTTGACAAAGCATTTCATGAATGAAGAAGTCAGTTCTGTTGCAATGACTGTTTCTCTTCTCTTCAGGATGCTGATCAGAGGTAAGAACAAGAATGCAATACCATTTTCTGAGAATGTAATTTATTACTGCGTGGAGCTGAT